TGTGATTGAGATATTTCATCAAACATTTTTTTCTGACCAATAGCCCCACAGAATGGAAACGTTCAATTAACAGAAATGCGCGAGATTATCTCGGTATTTAAACAATGCAAAAAACAGCCAGACACTAAAACTTGGAATTTAACCAAATAAAATAAAATAACTAAATCTAAACATATGGCATGAACATTTTGATGCATTTATTTTCATGATTTTGTTTTTATTTTACTAGACTCTGTTGATATGCTTATTTCTGCTTGCCTGCATTCCAATTCCTATCTGCTTTTGCACCATAATTCATCATATTGCTTCAATGCTTCAAATCCACAATTTGCAATATAGTAGCATTTTTTTTCGTAATTTTGTTATAAATGAGAACAAAACAGTTGGCCATTTTGGATTTGAAACCAATATGGCTGCCATTTTGAATTTGAACCAATATGGCTGCCATTTTGGATTTGAAACCAATATGGCTGCCATTTTGGATTTGAAACCAATATATTCTGCCATTTTCAATTTGAAACCAACATGGATGCCATTTTGAACTTGAAGCCAATATGGCTGCCATTTTGATTTTGAAACCAATATGGCTGCCATTTGGGATTTGAAACCAATATGGCTGCCATTTGGGATTTGAACATTGAATCACTTAATTATAACTATTTAAAAATTGCTATTGGCGAAACAAATCTGATACTAGCTCAGGAGATCCCTCCTTTTGACAGGTGATTTTCTTATGATTACAAATATAATACATGACTTTGTATATATGGGATAAAATTATGTCAACATCATGACCTATATATACCTGATATCTTATGACTGCTTAGTTAATACTTGTAGTTGTATGGTGGGTATACTGTCTATTAAAAGGATAGCATTTCTATTCAATATTGAGTGCATGCAAAATCTTAACTGCAATCTGGTAGCATGCAAGTTATGTTTTATTTTGAAAGAATCTTTTTTCTAGAACTAGAATTTATTTATTATTTTGTTTCTAAGTTTAGTTAAGGGTTCTGAGTTGTGGACCTTATTTATTTTGATTATAACACTATATTATAAGATTTTCTATTTTTATACAATTTACTCTTGAAAAACTGACATAAAAACGTGGCTTCTTTTTGCAGCTGCAACAAGAAAGCCATTGTCAAACAATCAATCTACTTGTTGAAGCTAGACAATTTAAATCGTGCACTTGTGCCTAGAACTGCTGGTATATGTTTGGAGTGTACCAGAAACAAATGCAATGCCCGGCAAGAAATCCCACAATTAAAAAAAAAAAAAAGTTTCTCGTAAGAAAAATAGTCGTCCTTTTTGTTGTCCATGCACATTTTAACTGTTTCTGTCCAAGTCAGTTGTTAAAAAAAGTTCCTCTAAGCATAACTTCTATCAGTATAAATACTCATATACTGTGGAATACTTTATTTTCGCTGGAATTAATTTTCGCTGAAAAGGCTTTTTGAGCGTTTTGTATGGAATTTATTTTCACTGATTTTTGATGAGTTTAATATGAAATATAGGAAAATTAGTATATTCGCTGGATTTTATTTTCACGGAATCATCCCTTCAGCGAAAATAGCGAAAATAAATTCCAAGCGAAAATAAAGTATTCTACAGTACTTTAATGTCCATCAATTTTTGATGACTCTGCCCTTTTTAAATTTGGATGGCAAGGATGTCTTCGTTTGTAATTTGATTAGAACTTTATGATAATTATTGAATTATTGTTTCACTTAATTTGCTATGTATGAATATGAACGTGTGCTGCATAGAGTGGTTTAGGTATCTAAAAACTAAAATAAATTGCACAACTTAGATAATATGAAACTTTAATAGATTTGCTTATAGGGGTATGACAGGTGCAAATGCAACGGCAAATGCAAGAAAAGGGCTTGCAACCTCCTTGTTTGACAGTAACATAATATTAACTCCATTTAAAATACAACAAAATCAAGCATATGATTTGGTTCCTCGATGTAAGCTGCAGTTCTTGTCGCAAAACGAATAGTTTAGTGAGATGTTATTCTTAAGGGCAAACATTCTGGTATTTTCACCGCCTGGCAAGCATCACGGTTGAAAACAAACGCCGAAAACTCTCATAAACGGTACTTTGTGATGGTTGTTGGGATTCTCCTGAGTAGTGTAACAAGATTACAACATGTGTAAATTGTTCAGGATTGTCTCACAGTTGATTTTATGCTGTTTACGACCAGCGTTGCACAACAGCTCACACAAAGCTCATGAAATACATGGTACAGTGGTGCGCGTCTTCGCAACATAGAACATTCAGTGAAGTAGCTCTGCCTCCAATAATAGCTAATCATATGCTACTACATGTATGTAGTGGAAATTGTATGCTCTTACATTTAATCAACCCCTGACTATCTTTTTCCCCTCCTTCATACCATGATATCAAAACAATTTTGTATTATTTTAAAAATGAACTGTTTTTATAATTTTATCATTTTGTACAATTTTTTTTTGGAAAACTACAGTTTTCAGTTTCATGTTTCTCCCTCGCAGAGTTGTATCAGCATAGAACGCTTGTACTGTGCACCGCCTTCTTCATTTTATGTAAGTTTTCTTTAACCTGCCCATAATATGGTAAACCATATAGTCATTTCCACCACCCATCCCATCCCATCCCATCCCATCCCATCCCATCCCATCTCCGTTCCAGCATTTAAAATTATTTTTTATTTTATTTTTCCAAATAAGATTTGTTTTCACTACATTAAATCATTCATAACCATGCATCTTAAACTAATTCCTTCAAACCAAGCTTGCTTACTAATTAACATAATACTCATTATCGTATAATTTAAATGCCTGTTTTGTATTGGCTGATGGTGGTCACATGATTTTAAGTCATATGACATATTTCAGCCAATGGGTTTTCTTTTTAATTTGTATATTACAAAGTTGATGGGGGTGATAAATTGATGTTTTAATTTAATTGTCCATTCTTTCCTAAGTTTGTCCTTTTATTTTTAGCTCACCCATATTTAACTGTTATTCCCAATTTGCATGTGAAATTTTATTTACTTATTAAATATTACCAGTCTTCATTTTAGCACAACTGTTATATTTTCAGGGAAGTGTTGACAGTCTTACAAGTTTTTATAGTTCAGCCGGTGAGAGGAATTTTGGAAAGATAACGGTGACTGGCGATATCAAATTTGGTTTGTCCTACAACTATAAAACTGGTGTATTTGAAGTAAAGATTGTAGCATGTCGAGATTTAGCACCTGTGGATGTCAAAAGAAATACATCTGACCCGTGAGTATACCTCAAAAAAAAAAATCATTGCTAGTCATTTGTTTATCTTTTTAAATTGTCAATTAAGTGAAAAATGTCATACTTTCAAAACTCATGATACTGAATCAATCGTAGGTGGTTGTTGTGAAATGTGCGTGTTCATAGAATTTCATGAAATGAAGTATTTACATGCATTGTATTACTTCGCATGGGAGCTACATCATACACAGCATGTTGTAAAAACCACTAAACTTTGTGTTGCTAAATGGTTCACATTTCGTTAAATGTTTAAGATATTGATACATGAATGCCACCTAGTCAGATGAAAGATTAATATTTTTGTTTGAACAAACAAAAAAATGAAAATTTTTTATATCTTTTACAATGATATGAAATGTAGTTTCATTTTAGCACTTGCGGGCGCTATAACACACATACCACATACCAGGGGGTTATTGAAGCACACCGTTCTTTGAAAGAATTGAGTTTCTACTGAGTTTTAGATTCTTTTTGTTTATTCGTTATTGATTAGAAAATTCTCGGAATGATGTGATGCTACGGTACAAAATCATTTACATGCTCGCTGAACAAAACTTGTATGAAGAAATTTTAATACATCAAAAAACAAAACAAAAGGAGGTATTTATTTATCTCACTCAAGAAGGCAAAAACATTTTCTACTTTAATACAGTCCTGAAAAAAAAAACTTGAAATGAACAAGAACCATTCCTATCATTGACTCATTCTGATTAGTAATAATCATTTGACCTTTGACCCTCTGAACGCCGAAGTTGAGTAATGGTTCAACTTCTACTACCAAGTTTTTTTAGCTCCGCTGTCGACTTTGTCGAGCGAGCTTATCATGTGCGTGATTGTCCGTGTCAATGTTTTACTTTTTCGACTTCTTCTTGAAAACTACAAGCCTGAATGCTTTGATACTTAGTGTATATGTACCTTGGGTAGACCTCTCTTAGATTTGTTCATTTTGTAATGATATCTTTAATTTTTGTGAATATTTTTGTAATTTTTGGTAAAAAGTGATATTTTCGACTTCTCGTTGAAAACCGCAAGTCCAATTGCTCTGATGTTACATATATAGGTACTACATGTGGATCTCTCTCAGATTTGTTCATTTCATGATGATATCTTCAATTCTCAAATTTTGGTGAATATTTTTGTCATTTTTGGTAAAAAGTGATATTTTCGACTTCTTGTTAAAAAACGCAAGTCCAATTGCTTTGATATTACATATATACATGTAGGTACTACATGTAGTTCTAACTCAGATTTGTTTATTTTGTAATGATATCTTTAATCTCTAATTTTCATGAATATTTTTGTAACTTTTGGTAAAAAGTGATATTTTTCACTTTTTGTTGAAAACCGCAAGTCTGATTGTTTTGATACTATACATATTGTTCATTTTCTAATGATATCTTCTGTTCTTTAATTGAAATGTGCGGAGCTATCTCAGCCGAGAGGCTGCTTGTCTGTTACTTTACGGGTGTTTTGTGTTCTGGAATTGATTCATAAGAAACTCATCTATGAGTCATTTCTTGATACAAAACTTCATATTAGAAAATTGAAATATTAAATATCCAAGCTCTGTAATAAATAATTATTTGGAGGTTTTCGCAACAAGAGGAAATTAAAATCATTAATTAAAAACAAAGGAATGTGTGCAAAATTTTGCAACATTAGGTTTTCACTGGAAAAATTACAGCATTATATAAATTATTTAGTCTGTTATGTGGTTTATAATACTGTAAAATCTGTATTAGAAACCGCGGCTTCTATTAAAATGGTACAATGCAATAGAGGGGATGCGGCTTCTATTAGAGCATCTACACATATGAGAAATGATGAATTTTTGGTTCTCAATTATTCAAAAAGAATGGGTGCGACTTCTATTAGGGATGCGGCTTCTAATACAGATTTTACGGTACTAGCTGGGGAATCAGCATGTCACTACCATTCTCTTTCATGAAGAGTACTTATCTCGTTATTTACCTTCGTTAATGTGTGAACTGTTGGCAAGTGCTAATTAAAGTCTTGTGGATGCGTCATACTATACATTGATGTCTGTGATTTGCTGCATCATGTTTGTCATCTAAATTAGATGTCATAGATCTTTTAGTAAATGTCTTCTCTTTATTTTAATCAACAGTTATGCCAAAACATATCTACTTCCTGATAAAACAAAGAACGGTAAAAGAAAAACCCGAATAAAGAAACGTACATTAAATCCAGCATTTGATGAAACACTCAAGGTAATGATAAAATGACTTATCAAATTCATCCCTATAGTGTGAAATATTTGATGGTGGAAATATTATGGATTTGTCATAATTCTGAATCTTGCAGGCCTTGGAACAACTGTGAATCAACCTTACTGCGTCAATCATTACACTATTCAATAACGTTAGCGAATGAAATTCAACATTTTGAAAACAATTTAAAATGAAAGAAGAAATGATCATAACATTCAGATGCACTAAAAAAATCTCTGATAGTTGAAAATGAAAGTGACAATAGCTGTAACTATCAATCTTTTTTTCTTTTATTTTTATTTTTAATAAAACATTTCCTGTTTATAGTGCCAATTTGTAACATTCATAGCCAAAATATGGACACTAAAAGGTTAACATATATGCTGTATACCAACATTGTACATTCAATCACTTCTATTAAAATCCAGTTTTCTCAAAATCAGTTTTCTCAGAATCTCTGTCAGTGATTACGATACAAGATGACAGCTTACTTGGGACACCCTGGGGAAAATTTTAAATACGTTGCCTTTCTCAGAAGGCTCCTCACTGATGTTTTTATGTGTCAATTGTGTGTCATCATATTTCAGTCTGTCACATAACTGATTTCAACAAGATGGCAACTATTAGACTCTTAGCGTTCACATCACATTGGCCTTGTGTAGGGTCACTTTGCTCATGCAGTTGTGTCTAAACTAGTTTGGTATGATTTGGTGATATTTATGTGGTTTTATTTAAACAAAAAAATGTTCAATATCACAGCTATTACCACTTTAATAATAGTACATATATTTCCCTTTATAGTCTAGATTCAAAATATGGAGTTTTATTTTGCCATTTGCTCATTCCAGTATTTTGCCACAATATTGAATACGCTTCTCGAAAATCCCCCCCCCCCACCCTCCAATTCCACAGCATTGTTGCTGTCTTTGAGGAGGGAGGGGTGCAACCATAACCATTTTCACCATAACAACAAATGTAGTTAAGCCTATTTTTCTCAACTTCATCTTTGAGGGAGATTTTTAAGCTGCCAATAGATTAAAAAATATTTGTTATTTTGTTGTCAGTATTTAATTAGCGAAAGCGAGTTGCAGACACGAACACTGTGGATATCTATATGGCATAATGATGCGTTCGGTCACAACGATTTCCTCGGAGAGATACAGCTTCCGTTAGATGATATCAACTTAGAAGACTTTCATCCTGAGTGGCGGCCGCTTTGTCCACGTGTCCTTGTAAGTATACATTCGTCTTCTGTTTAATGTATGCATATAGATGCATTGTTTGTATCATCGATGCATGTCTGAGGTTTAACACCAGAATAAACTTGTATACCAATACTTACCAAGACCAATAACCAATAGGAAATGTTCATGTGTGGCCATTTGGTCTAAATATAACAAATTTATGTATAGCTAATACTGTAAAATCTGTATTAAAAGCTGTGGCTTCTATTACAATGGTACAATGTAACAGAGAAGAAGCAGCTTCTATTAGAGTATCTACACATATCAGAAGTTATGAATTTTTGGTTCTCAATTATTCAAAAAGAATATTAAGAGATGCGGCTTCTAATATAGATATTACTGTAGTTTCAAATGTCAAATTTGGCAGAAAACAATTGTGTTTGCTGTTTGTCTAGTTTAAACTCTTCTACACAAATTTTGCGGGCACTTTTTTGATGTTTTGTGCTCGAAAATTAATTCTCAAGAAACTCATTCCTTCTCATATTACAACACACTTGTTTGGTTTCACCTTCCTATTGGAAAATTGAAATATTAAAAGAAATCGAGAGGAAATTATAATCATCAGTTGAAAACCGAGAAATATTCGCGCATAATTGATTTTTGTTTTCATGCAAAAAAAAGACAATTTGGATACCATTGAGTCATTTTGATCATGTAAATCCATTTGACATTGCATCTTGGCAGAAACATATTTATAGTAAAATTAAGATGTAATATGGCAGAACACATACACAATGTGTAATAGAAATAATGTAAAATACTTTATTTTAGCTGGATTTAATTTTCGCTGAATAGCCTTTTTTTGGGAAAAAAAAGTATATTCGCTGGATTTTATTTTCGCTGAATCATTCCTTCAGTGAAAATAGCGAAAATTAAATGGAAGTGAAAATAAAGTATTCTACAGTGCATGCATGCCCAGATTTATATCTATACTTATGTGCATAGGGATCCTGTACAACAAACAAGGTTCCACTTGGACTGCTCAATCATCGGTTGTCTTCCCAGGACCCCTCCTCAATCCATTTTCAAACTAAAACTTCCTCACCCTCACTGGAATCGTTCAATCATTTCAGGCACTTTCGTTCTCTCAGTTGAGCAAAGAGAATTTTTCCAGCCACAGATTTAAAGATAACATTGACATTTGACTAATTATCAGCTAATTTTAATCACTATTTAATATCACTTTTTTAGCTCCGCTGTCGACTTTGTCGAGCGGAGCTTATCATATGAGTGATTGTTCTCCGTCGTCTGTGTCAATGTTTTACTTTTTCGACTTCTTCTTGAAAATTACAAGCCTGAATGCTTTGATACTTGGTGTGTATGTACCTGGGGTAGACCTCTCTTAGATTTGTTGATTTCATGATGATATCTTCATTTTGGTGAATATTTTTGTAATTTTTGGTAAAAAGTGTTTTTTTTGACTTCTTGTTAAAAACCGCAAGTCCAATTGCTTTGATATTACATATATAGATACTGCATGTGGACCTTTCTCAGATTTGTTCATTTTGTGATGATATCCTCAAATCTCTAATTTTGGTGAATATTTTTGTCATTTTTGATAAATAGTGATATTGTTGACTTCTTGTTAAAAACTGCAAGTCCAATTGCTTTGATATTACGTATATAGATGCTACATGTGGACATTTCTGAGAGATTTGTTCATTTCGTGATGATATCTTAAATTATCTAATTTTGATGAATATTTCTGTCATTTTTGGTAAAAAGTGATATTTTTGAATTCTTGTTGAAAAAAGCAAGTCCGATTGCTATACATACTATACATATTGTTAAGTTTTTAAAGAAATCTTCAGTTCTTTAATTGAAATGTGCCTTGCTAACAGCGGAGCTATCTCAGCCGAGAGGCTGCTTGTTTTAATATACAATTTCAGAATCTGAACAGGTATAATCTAATGTAAATCAGTTTTAACGTACTTTCTATAAATCTGGTATGCTTGGACTTCCAAGCTACAGGATACCTTAATTTCATGTTTTGCTACACGATAAATCATTGTTGTGCTCCGTTTTGTAATAATCTGCACATTTACAATTTTACGTTATTTTTGACAATACTGGTTAAATATATAAATTTCTTCACTAGTCTTGTTACAAAAAAACAATAATCGATTACTCCTCCATTTCAAAAACACTGCGCTACTTCGTAATATAGCAATTTTTTTTATTTTCAAGAGCAAAACTCTAAGTTTAAATAAAAAATAAACAATCAGTAACTAAAAATTTTCTCTGTATGGCCTATTTAACTTTCTGTGTTTTTTTTCCTGTGGACATGCATTGTACCATCTTCAGGTGATTACATTAGGACAGTTCCATCAAAAATCAAACCTTAATTTTTAAGAGGCTTGTACTTGAATATCGCTACAGCAATAAATATTATGTTACCCGAGTACAGAAAGTCATCGTGAATTCATACTGCTGTGCATAAGACACAATTTCTCACCAGAGCATGATGTCTGTTTCCCCGACTTACAGCGAGAAAAAATACAAACTCTGATCTTTATAGAATTCTTGCAAATTTGAACATAAAAAATGCAGAAATTGATATTAACAGGATATTAATATTATGTGAAAAATATTTTTTCTCTGCGGAGTATATGATTATGAAGGCGTACATATATTGTAGTATTGCCCGAAGCTTATAACAATACAGTGATTTCAACCAATCACAGTTTCTATGCATTTTTTTTGGGACTATATTTGGTACCGCAGTGACGTCAATTCAGTATATATGATCCAGCAATTCCTTTGATTTTGTGCAACTTGCGCACAATTTTGCTCTTATACGGGCTTGATTTGTGGCATTAACACACACAAAATTTGATCTGTCAACTCGGTGTACGTGTACATTCGTTAAATTGTTTACTGTTAGTTGCTGACATTTATATTAATGGTAATAGTAATTAATTAACATTGTCTTTAGTTAGCATTCTTTGTGTATTTAGATTTTAATTATTATGCAATTATAGTCAGCTGTAGAACTGCTTTTTTTCACTGTGATTGACAATATATACAATTTTTTTTAATTTTGTTATAGGCCGCTGGAATGGAGAGTACGCTGTCGTACAAAGGAGACTTAACAATTGCTATCAAGTTTATTCCTGCCGATGCCTCTAATGGGTCACCGTCTCAGGAGGTACAGAAAGGAAAATCAAAGAAAAAGGCGAAGAACCCACCTGAGCCCGGAAAAGGTGCTATACATGTTCACATTAAAGATGCTAGGAACCTCATAGCTGTTAGAATTAATGGGTATTCCGACCCTTTCGCCAAATGGTGAGTTTGTAGGTTTCATTCGCAATTTACAACAATGCTTGAATGTGTTATTTAGGAACCCTAAAGCCTAATGCCCACACATCACCAAAATCCTGTCACACCCAATCAAACTCAAACCCAATCCCAACCCCAACCCAATGTGAACCTATACATCGAATTATTGAATTGTGGAGATTTTGTTTGCACTGAAAATGTAATAATTTACTGTGTTTTTATTTTGAATTGGCTGCTATTCAAACAAATTGTTGGTTTTCATGGAGCGAGTCATTTTCTAAGCTTTTGATTTCAATGCTAGGTTTTCATTTTTTTAATTACGTTCAATAACAAATAGGAAATTTTTCAGATATATGCACAAACTATGAAAATTTTGTAGGCGATGCAATTGCAATAATAAATGTACAACACAAACAGACCAGTTATGGGTGATATGATAATTAGACACAGGATAAAAGTACAAGTCAGTCTAAGTGAATCAAAAATGGAAGTTCTGAATTATTATTTATGAACAATCCATTGAGTGATGCATGTTTGCATTCTGTAATATTTCAGTTATCTTCTGCCAAACAAGAGCAAGTCTGGGAAGCGAAAAACTGAAGTGATAAAAAAGAACTGTAATCCTCATTGGGACGAGACGTTCATCTACGAAGGAGTCAATGTTGAGGATCTGAAAGAGCGGGCCTTGGAAGTGACTCTCTGGGACAGAGAATCAATGGCGTCAAATGACTTTTTGGGAGGTTTACGTCTGGGAGTTGGGAATGGTATAAAGCTTAATAATTCATTTTGTTCTTCCACGATTACATTTTTAATGAGAACCTGTCTAGTTCTGATAAGAAGATGCTGAATAATGGATTTTTATACTTAATTTTCTCTGAGGAACAAATACTTCTATTTATCTTTCATGATTGAGTCAGAGTTTTTAAGGATAGAGATAAAACTATTTGTGATAAAGAATAAATGTAATCTACATTTCTCTTTAAAGAACAGCAGTTCCCCATGAAAGTATAGTTGTTGATAAATTTAATGTATCCCAAAATGCAATGGGTTCCTAGCAACCAAGATGGTGACCATCATTAACATTTATGCGCATAAATATATTCTATGTAATAAGTGTTTTTTACAGGTGAATACATTCTATATTTTATATCACTGTATGCTTTGATGTCATTAAAAATGCTGTGTTTTTTTTCTTGTTTTTAGGAAAGTCGTATGGTAAGGAAGTAAAATGGCAAGATTCACGGTCAGCAGAGACAGCATTGTGGCAACGAATGTTGGACAATCAAAACCAATGGGTCGAAGCTAACTTAATGCTACGTAGCCATATGAACGGGAAAGAAGCCAAAGAACCTGAATTTATTTAGGTTTTATCACTTTTCATTGGCTGAGCTTATCAGTATGTCAACCAACCAGGAAAGCTGAAAAACAAAAATATTGTTATTTGTAAGAGCTCTGCTGATTGGTTGTTAGGCATGACTGTGTGTCATTAGCACTGCTTCATCAAGTGGAATCATGTATAATTTTTTGACAGCAAACCAAACTCAGAGTTTGGCACAAATATATTATTAATTTTTTTTTATATATTTCAATATTTCAATATTTTTTCCTATTCCTCTATAGTTGTTGAATTCATTCTTTATTCATTTTGTATGCTTTGGTAAAACCGTGCTAATTCTTTTTGTAATTCCATCATCGTAATTTTTCCATTTGTATGATGATAATTTTGTGTTATTATGAATAGTAGCAATCCCTAATTCAGACTGAACAATAGAAACACTTGTACATTAATGGTCTATTCCAACATAGTTAACAAAAGGATACGCTAGTGACAAGCTAGAAGGCTTCACAGTGGAGGTCAATGCTGGCATATGTTCGAAATGTGGAAAAACATCATACTAAATTCAAATGTATGTTGTAGAGCAATGTATGTTGATCCAACGATGAGTTGAAGAAATATCATGGACACAGTCTGTATACAAATCTATCCAAAATATAGTTTCATATTTACTGTAAATTTACTTTATTTTGCAAGAACATGTTTTTCATGAGACATTGCAAAAACTGATTAACATTCCTCAGTGACTTTCGCGAAAATTCGGTTCTCAAAAAACTTGAACATTCATACCAACGAAAAATTTACCGATACTGGTTTGCAATATTTTTCTAATCTGATTCAACAAAATATCTCTTTTCCTTTTATGACAAGTTGGAGAATTTTCCTATCACATGTGTGAAATCTTAAGAGTTTATTTTATATTGTATTAGCATGATTTCAAAATAATCACTATGTGATTCAATCAAGCATTATTTTACCAGTAATTAACATATCCTGAAAAAAAATTATTATTAGTATTTATATTTACTGGTACATTATTTACTTCCTGTATTTCTAAATATTAAAATAGAATGTATAAGCTGACTGTAGAGGGCAGGCTTTATCTGACCTCTGTATGATGTACAAGTATGTACATTTTTTGTTTAGTATAATCAAATTTAATTATTTATTCGACTCTCTTATCATAGACAAAGTTTTATCACTGATCAGATTTTCGTCAGTATAACTTCTCACATTTGTCAAATGGTTCTGAAATTCAAGTGAAGTCAGGCTTCTGAGTGGTATCATCACGTTAGTTTTTCATCCAATCAGTGCTCTCCCAGCTGATTTTGTTTTGCATGTGCCTCACTGTTAACATCAATGTTTGTTTACTCTGTGGTTATTACAGCTACTTCATACTGATTGACAAAAATTGATATGTACACCAAAAATGTTTCATTAATCATGATATAAACATTTGGCATCTATCTATTGGTGCTAAAATAATTTAGAATTGTCACCACAAACATAATTTTGAGTCAGATCAAGATTTGTAATTTTCATAATAAATATAATATTATTTATATTTTGATCAATATCATTCAAACAGATTTTGAGGAACTATTGTGAACACAATTTGCGGAAGGTTACAATGCTTGAAAGTGGTGAAAAGGTTATCTTGCAACTATTTGTTTAGTTGTGAAATACCCGTTACTACCGGGTACAGTCTGTATACAATTGTAAGGCAGAGAAAATAAGTTTTTTGTGAAACTCGACTTTTATTTTATGCAAATTAGATTTTTTTTTGTATGTTCTACCCCAAGAAATAAATTAATTTGTTTACCTCTTTTGAAAAAGATGACCAAAACATGACTGTTTAGAAATCCACTCTAATGACTAATTGCAATTAGTGATAATTTTTTCTAAATCCTTAATCTTGTAATAATTTAAACACAAATTACTTGATAAGAGTGAGTCATTTGGAAACAAAAATGAAGTAAAATAGAATAAAAACCCTACTGTCTACATAATATTTTGTTAACCTGTTACTGGAAGCACAGTATTGTTTTCTTCTGCCTAAGCCAGAAGTACAGTTTGTTGTTAAATAACTTCTTATTGTTCAATTGAACAGAAGCTGACTTCCTTTATATACAGTTTCGATCAAGTCTTGATTTTCCAAACTAATTCAAATTTTAGCATAAAAAGCTTTTAGTAAAACCAAATTGCAGTATTCTACAGAATCAGAAAGCATACATGTGATAAAAAATACTTTGAATATTTATTTATATTTAAAATACATTTAAAATACAATCAATCAAATACATTTCTCATTGAATTTGTTCCATAGTCTTAAAATGGATTATTCCATTTTAGGAGTTGTGGGGTGAATGCATGGAAATTTGAGGGGTTAATTTGTTTTTAAACCTTTTTGAGCAACGAATTCTACCTTTGTTAGTTTTCACAAATTGAATCAACATCATTTTTTTCATCAATTATCCCAAAAATTTTAGAAAAACATGTAGAAATAGGAAAAACTTTGTTGGAAAAATTGTCAGTGGTGCTCTAAGCAGCAGCATATTTTCCATATTTTATTCAAAATCAACAAATAAGTGTGGAAAATAAAATACTGTTTAAAAAAATAGAATCAACACATTTGAAAATATTTTTTTCAATCATTTTAGAAATTAAAAAAAATTTGAAGAGGGAGGTGTATCTGTATTGATATTATTTGACATGTTTTGTATCACTGTTTGCAATGCAGCAATAGTGTTATCTTTGATTGAACACTGAGTTTCATTTAAATTGGTATTTTAGAAAATGTAACAGATCTGTATTTTAACAATATTAGGGCTACTTATTGTTGCTGTTTTGCAAACAGTAACACTTAAAAAAATAATTTACACAGTTGAATTGACAATTTATTCACAGTTTGTGTTTTCATTCACTGCAATCTCATATTCCATTTACCTATTTATGATACATTTCTTAATTTTTTTTCAAAAATAAAAACTTTCTTTTGATAAATATCCTGTTCAATATGATCTAATAATTTTGTTTGCAGCAATAATGTAACCATGACAACCAATCATGAAAAATAACATTTTTTCAACAAATTAGCAATATTTAAATGAGATTTTAATGAGTACTTCTGTACTTGAAAGTCAAATATGTTCAACAACATATCCTGCACCTTAGTGGTACGATACAAGAGTTATTATTGGATATTAAAATCATGTGACAAAGAGGTATTTTACTTTTTCAATATTTACTATAATTAAGCTTAAGCACTGCAGTCCTTGTGCCTTCTTGTTGTAATTTGGGGTATATGAACTTTGAACAAAAAGACTGTACTAAAAAAAAAGGAATCTATCACAATGATTTTGTCAGAGTTGTGTTCAATTTGCCAAGTAATCAGGCTAAATAATGACGTACAATTAACAATCCTGTGTGTACCTTTGAGCAGAAACTTGATTAGTTGTAACATTTTCAAAGTAGTTGACCCAAATCCTTGATTTACTAAAGTGATTGATGAAAAGAGCATTTCCGTATAAATTACCAAGACGGAGCCTTCTGAAAAAACTGTGTTCACAACACATATTGTCTCCCTTGTCTTGTGGGTTTACGTAACACTCAGTGCCAATAACATCTAGTTTGAGCAATATGTATCTGAGGACCCCTCCCCCTAATTCCATTCAGTATACTACATCAAGTAACTATAGTCAGTGTTTTATTTATAACGACCATAACCACCATAAACCAAATGATCTTCATGCCTCGTCGTTTTATAACGTTCTCAATTTAAGTATATGTACTTGCCTCTTTTAATCGTGATCTGCTGTCATTAGTGCTTAGAATTCGCTGTGAAAAATCACATGTCGTCTAAAAAGTCGATCTACTTAAACCAATCTTTCGGTTACTGCTTATTAATCACCGTTTCCAGATTTTCACTAAATCTATTGTAGTCAAACGAAAATCTGTTCAGCAAAAGAAAATTTCTAGTTAAACTCAATGGCAGCAACCCAGCATTTAAGTTTATTTACATAAATACAATTTTCAGAATCTCTATTTTTATTCAAATTACCAAAAATAACATTTTCTGCCTTGTCAAAGTAGTACTGACGAGTTGATGATCAAAGGTCATGTGACCATCCACCTTGGATTTGGGTGGGGTTCTTACGTTGGCAAACATGGAGGTTTCAACTGGCAGATCTAAGGATAGAGGTTAATATTAAGTTTTATAAGTGTCCCCTACAACATGTGTAGAATTTTAAAATTCAAATATTGTAAGATTAGAATTATGAAAATTGAGTTATTGATAGCTTAGCTAATATTAATTTTGCTTGATAAAACTTCACAAAATAAATTATAAGCAATATTAAGTTCTAACTGGACTTGAATTGTATATATTGAATCTTCAGCCAGATTTCTTTTGTAATTTCAAATTATTTGGGTTTTTTCAGTTTCTATGTTAAGTTTTCACAATATTCAATGTATTCTAATGGTATGTCCTTCATTGAAAATTTCAAAACAACTGGGACAAACCATTATAGAAAGGGTACATGTAACAGTGTAGGTAATATTTGTACAATTCCAGCATTTTTACCTTTTTTTCCTCGCATTTAATTATATTCTTACTGTAATATTAAAATATTTGTTTACCACACAATCACTGGGTAAATAAAAAAAAATTAAAAAAAAACGTTATGCAGGACATTTGTCTTGCATGATGGCCGAATCATTTATTCAAATAGGTATTGTCTGCAAAGGTTTCCCATTTTGTGAATTAGTCACATGACTTGGGAGATACCGTTATTAATAGCAGGGATGGAAGGATTTTTTTTGTTACTAATTGGGCTTATTGTATAAGTGAAAAAATCTAGCTCTGATTAACTATATTTTTGTATTTATTCACTCAATATTGTCAATAAAAACTACTGACATGGAAGAGAAATGATTATTAATTGTGTTTTTTTTATGAAAATGTATGCATGTTGATGGGTAGGCTTATATTTTAGGGCTGTGCTGCCAATGAGAATTTAGTATTATCCA